CACGGAGCAGCCGGATAAACCCCGGTGCTCCCAACCACCGCCAAAACCCCTTCGGAGGCCTCCCAGCAGCAGCCCCAGCGCTCCAGGGACGCGGCGCTGGAGCTCTCTCCCCACAGCAAAGCCGAGGGGGGGACCAGGGCAGAGCCCAGCTCCCCAGGACCCCGGGGCGAAGCCCCTTACCTCCAGCTGGCCCTCCTCGGTGCAGGCGTGGAGTTTAAAGTGCTTAATGCTGATGGCTGTGATGACATGTCCCTTCCGCCGAGAGTCACACGAGCAATGGGGGAAGCTGATCTCGTTGTAACCCTCGCACGTCCGCAACATGTTTAAATACTGCGGAGAGAAAGCCGCAGGCGTGAGCTCGCGCGGAGGAAGGGAAGGGGACCCCTGCACCACCCTGCACCCTCCTGCTTCTCACACCGCCCCGGAAACCCCGGCTGCACCCCAGCCCGGGGAGGCTGGATCCCCCGCGAAGGAAGCCGAGACCCCAGGGGCAGCAGGGCTGCGCGAGGGGGAGGAAGGAGACCCCTCCAGCTGCTCAATCCCCCTGCCCCACCCCGGCCCGGAGCCCCCCGCGGCCGCGAACGCTGAAAGCCCCTTCCAGCAGAGCCGGTGCGGCCGGAGCCGCCGACCAGCATGGCCGTGCTCCCCTGGGACGGGTACGGACCTGAGCAGAGCTAGGGCAGCCCCCGGGCCACAAGCACCGCTCTCGGCAGAGCCTTCCTCCGGCCCGCTGCAGGCTGAGGGTGAGACCAGAAGCAGAGGCTGTCGGGCAGATGTGGGATCTGGGTTTCTCAGAATCCTTCGACGCAAATGCTCCGACTCGTTAAAAGGTCCAAAGACAGATTTTTTCTGCTTCTTTCTTTCCGAGTGCAGCCCAGACAAGGCCACACTGTGAGGGCACCGGGGAAGCGCTGGGAGCTCGGCGCCACAGCTCGGGACGCGGCAGAAGCCGGGAGCTTCTCCAGGGGCCGGTGCTCCAGAGCCCGGCAACCCCTCGTTGCACGAGGAAGGCGTACGCAGGGCAGAACTACCCCAAAGCCCAGAGTGACGCTTTAACCGAGGAACAAGCCACCTCCAGACCGGAGGAAGGGGCCAAACCCTCAAGCGCTGCACTCCAGGCAGGACCCTTACTAACACAGGGGGAGGAAGAGGATGAAGTACTTCGACTTCACAGGCTCTCTGGGCCTCAGATGTTGTCGTCTTGACCTCCTGCTAGACCAGGACCCTCCCATACCTGGGGGGGAGTGTGTGTATATACATATTTATATTTTTTAATATATATATGTGTGCTGGGA